GAAAGGGTATGGAAAACATCAACAAAGTCTTGTAAGAAGTCCAGCAAAGTCATGCAATTTTACTGATCGGAAAGAATACGAACCCCTGTGTTTCTTGATTCCTCAGTTCGGAAGAATTTTGACTCAACATTTGTAGCGACCCTGCAGGGTTCAAGTTTAAGCGCCAGATCCCAGAAAGGCCAGATTCAAGAAATTACTTGGAAATCAGGTTGAATTCTTTACGAAGTTCAATAGAACTCCGTGTATTTGAACTGTTTAGGGAAACGTAAAACAGCACGAGATACAGGGGAGTTTGAGTGACCTGTCAAATGCTCAGAGGCATTGTGCAAATTGGGTGCTACGCTACCTTCGCGGACATTTCTAGGCAGTTCTGGAAATATAGTTGAAAAGGTAACTTTCACGATCATAAATATGGTAGATTGGATCCATTTTGTATGTTTCTGTTTAAGAAAGAAGAAAGGACCACCGTTTGAATAAAAAAATCCGCATATGTCCCTGAAGTAATCGCTTATTGCCGTTGAAAGACATCTCAGTGAGGATTCAGAAATAACCATTGGTGATCTGGTGAAGGTGATACACTGTATTATATCCCTTACTGATATCACTGAATGTTTCAGCTTAATCTCACTTAAATCCAATTGAGATGAATCTTAACGACAAACCTGATACTCTATCCCGCTCTCTTGAACTGCAGCTATGTTCCTTTACTGCTGGAATAAGGACATTTGATATTGCATTCTCCAGAGGTTCCTCAGTAGAAGATCCTGAATATCAGGCAGTGTTGGAAGGAAATAGGTCCAGCGGTGTTTCAGGCCAAAGGTGAAAGCAACATAGCATTCTTGAGGCTGTGACAGTGCAAACTCGGCTAACTTGGCCACTTCTTCTGTCCAGCTCGTGACTTTGTTAGTGATGTATTATAAGAATAATAATTTTATTAACCCTTTAACTCCCATGAGTGACCAAGACAGAATTTCTCCTTACGATATCAATACAATATCAAGCAGGAAAGTGATGAGACTAGATGAAGAAGAAAATAAGGAGATTATTAGTTGATCGAATACCAAATTCTCTGAATGAAATCTAAAGAATTGTATGAAATACAGTAAGAAGAATTACTAATGAAATCTTGGCAGTGAAAGGATTAATTTAGTACTGAGAGACTTCACTTTAAGATGAAGTGCCGCAACAAAAATCATAGGCTGCCATTCTTGGTGTTTCAAGGACACAATTTAGTTCTTTATTTAACAGGTTATTTGCGTTTTTGCAAAGTAGCATTGTCACGTCGCTGTACAAAGAACGCTTTAGAACATTATATGACCTTTTGTTTTCTTAAAATGTAACCTTGTTTCGTTTTGATCGCGTGATTATAAAATATCCTTTTGGCTAGCCGCACAAATAATTATTTCAGTTTAGTTTCCTTTACGTCATAGAAGTATATTAGGCCTTTTTTCACGCGAACATTTCAGTTTTAAGGAGTTGTCTCTGGAGCAAAGAGGAGTTTTATAAGATTCTTTCAGAGTTTTTTTTTTACAACTTGGAGTTCATCCCCGGAGCCAAGATCAGACGTAAGTCATGATAGTTAGTTGTGTTTTCTGTCGTCAGATTTGTCGTTTAGCTCGTTTCCTTAGCTTAGACAGACCGTGCATCCCTTTTAGTTTTCACCACAAGTGTTGTAACAAGTCGGCTAGCCTAATTACATGATTTAGTCCAATAAACGTGTGTAAGAGTCTGCTGTCCGTCCTGCACTCCACTGTGGTTGACCTGGCGGACCCAATTACGCTGCACCCCGTGTCTGCCGTGCTGGGAACGCGACAAGCATCTTTTGTTCATTCCATCCAGCTGGATGTTTTTTTTTCTGATTGCCACTTGGCTCCTAAATTCTTCAAAGTGGTAGTCAATTCGAAAATAGTTTGTCGCCATTTTCAAAAACAAACAAAACCTTGTTTTACATTGTCAGCGTTCTTGATAGACCCTTCAAAATTATGTTAAGGAAAAGATCTTTTACGTGCCACAAAGTGGACACTAGGATGGATGATATACAACGTTCAAGCTCACCTACATCCAAGATGGCGTTTTGTTATCGATCGAAAGGCACGTGCTGCGTTTTAGAAACAAACTTAACGAGAAAGTTTATCGCGGATTTGTCTTTGCAAATCTGTTAAATTCACTATTTCTCTTGGTAAGGTTATGGTGAAACATTCTAGTCGCCAATTTGGCGACTAATTTTCAGGATTTGGTCGCCAAAGTGAAAAATTTAGTCGCATTGGCGCCTGGCGCAATTTCACGCCCTGTAAAACAGTAACATGTACCTTAGGGTCTTCCCATGTTACATGGGAAGACCCTAAGGTACACGTTACTGTACATGTAACTGTACATGTAATTTCAATCCTGTCAGATCCTCCTTAAGATCGGTAGAACTGAGATGTACTTGCTTGTTTGTTTTGTTGTTGGTTTTATTTGCTTCTTTCAAACTTCAGCTCCAAGAATTATGGTTGCAGAAAACAACCACACTTTTGCATTTTTACGAAAAGAGGGAGTTGGATTCTGAATAAGAATTCCTTCTGCTCCATAATTTCAAAAAAAGAAAATGTCAAACTTGCACTTATGTAATGTAATATTCAGAATAAACTACAATTAAAGAGCTACAGTTAAATCATTGATAGAAAAAGCTAATGATTGTTAAATTCTGATTGTAGGGATATTTTCAAGAGAGAAATGTGTGGTAATAAAATTGGATCATTAATTGGTAATTACTGAGTAAAAAATACAATCTTCCTTTGGAATACAATCTTCCTTTGGAATACAATCTTCCTTAGGAATACAAAATATATTTATTTGTAATGTAATATTTATCTGTAACCAATGAAGATGCACTTCTAACAGGCACCATCTTAACCTTAAATGGGTTCAGGAACACTTTAGTGTATCTTTTGTGAAACTTATTTCTATAATTAAAGCTGTAGACATAATCTTTTACCAAGAAAGTGTAAACAATTATTCATAAGTTACTGCTACTATGAGTTTTAACCCTCTCTTCCTGTTGTTGAGCAGAGCAAAGCAACTTATTGAATAGGGGAGACTTGAGAAAGAGGAATCAGAAAATCAAGTGAGTCCAATTTTCTAATCTAAATAAAGTTATAGTATTGTTTTCTGGTTGTTAAAACTCATGGTGTAGCTCTGCACTTTGTAAATTATGGATGAATTATCCCATAAATTTATTTTAATAAATATTTCTGTGAAATACACAACACAGTGGCTAATATGTACTTGTCTGAACACCTTGTAAGAATGAACAGTTATCACCTCTTTATAAGAATGATGTTATCAATCAATCTCCAAATATTTTCATTTCTGTAAGGCCAATAGTTATTGTCATTATTATAAGTTGTATAATTTTTCTTAGTATTAAAATGATCATTAGTATTATTATTTTTGTAAGTTTTATAGTTATTATCATTATCAATTTTATTCAAGTTCCCTTAAGGCTTTGTTTTATTCTGTGCAGAGCTTAATGACTTTTTGAAGTAGTTTTTTCCCTTGAAACAAAGCCTGTGCATAAATAGGCCAAAATCAAGCTTATCTGAGTTTCTGGAGCATGAAGTCACTAGGAGTAAGGAAATTCCCTCAAAATGCAATGCCAGTCCCTTTTAGGATACATGTATCCCCTCGCACTCTCTCATGTTTCCCAAACAGTTTGACAGTACCCCATTTAAATGTTTATAAACCTTGGTGGAGAGAGATACTGTGAGAATATATTGTCTTGCTCTTAAGAACACTACTACAAAATGATAACCTTCTGATCATTTTAATCTGGAGTCCAGTATCCTACTTATAGCCAATAAGCAATCATGTTTATTAACTTTGAGCTCAGTTTTTGGTGAGTTCATGAAAGGTAAATAAACCACTCACTCTGTATTGCCACTTTGATTCAGCAGAACACCAATTTATTATCTTCACCAGTGAAGAGATGATAGAGAGAATTCTTTGCATTTTAGGAAATCAAGAAGGAAGAATTTGATGGACATCATCAGGGACAAGAACTTAGTAAAGCCAAAAGGGACCAAGAGGAGAGACAGGCCCAAAATTTTTTTGTGAATCAAATCAAAGGAGACAGAGCCAAAGAGCAGGCCCACAGGGAAGCTGTGCGGCAGCAGATTGCTAGAGATAAAGCAGAAAGGGAAGCTAGACGACAGAATGAGGTGCAGGAGAGACAGACTGGATGGACATGTTTTTTAAAACATCAGCCATTACTTTAGTTATACATTGTTGTACTGTATTTTTATTAACTGCTCTGTACATGCAACAGAGACTTTTTGTTTTTACTTAGCATTTCTGCCTGGCTCCAGTTTCATCTTCCAGATGGCAGTTTGTTAACAAACTCTTTCCCAGCTGATACTCCTTTGGAGACCATCCAACAGTATATCATCACTGTGAGTAGTTGATTTTTACGAGTACATGTATAACAATGAGAAAAATCTAGGGAGCTTTCAGGGAATTCTCTTTAGATAAGTAGAAGAGAATTTACTGTTCAATGTATTGGAACTATAATTGTTAGGTTCTTATTTTAGGGGCCAGAAACAGTTTTCTTTAAAATTCCTCCTCAAGTCATCTGACCCATTCCATTTTAGAACTGCTTAGGTAAATGGTGAAATTTCAAATATTTCATATTTAGTCCAATCATGGACCTTTGGAAGACCCTAAATTGTTTAAAAAATAGTAATCTGAAAGTTGACTTTGTGGGAAATGGCAAAGATATACCATTTCTTAGGTCTGCATTAGATTCTTAATTTTCTGCAACCTTGCCTGTGTGTGTCCAAACAAAGATTCTCTTCAAGATCTTTTGGTTTTTGTCAATTGTCTTTACAGCCATAAACCCCTCCAAAACTTGAGTCAGCTCTTTTGTGAGTAAATTTGTTGAAAATTTACTGAAAATAAGTGTTAATAATGTGGATCTTTTCAATTGTTCTCAGCAACTAGAACCCAGTTCCAGCTGAATAACAATGTGCACCACCTACCTTAGGCAGGAGCTGACCAAAGAAGACCTGGGAAAGACTTTGGCTGAGTTAGGTCTGGCACTTAGTTCCACTTTAATTGTAGCTGTGGTAAGTTTAAGATCAATATTAGGTTGTTTTTTAAAACATTCATCCATTGAAAAGAGTGAATATTTGTCTCATGTGAACCTAGCACATGGCTTGGCCTACCAATGAGTTCTGTTTAACCCTTTAGCTCCCAGAGGTGATGGGCTTGTAACTTCTCCCTAAAAAATATCCATACATTGTCCAGCAAACAGGTAATGAGAAATTACTCAAAGTTATCAGCTAGAAGTTGCCATGTTGATCAAACACCAAATTCTCATCAATCATTTAAAAGGAAATGTGTGGCAGCTAGAAAGGAGAATTAATAATTAGATCTTGGGAGTTAAAGGTTACTTTTTGTAACTTAGTTTTAGGTAATTGAAGTTGAAACTTTAGGAAATCAAAGCAGGGTTGTGTTTTAGGAAAACTTGGGTGCCACATGCAACCAACTTTAGCTTTCTTCTCCTTCATTCCCAATGAATGTTCAATCTTTTTTGTTTTTTCTTGTTATTTTAATTGGTTAATTATAATTGTGTTTGTGAGAAATGTTTCCTTAAATTCTTTGAGTGAATTTCCACATTCCCCCCCCCTATCATTTGAAGAAATTTCCCAAAACTTAAAGACATAAGTAAGCAGTTTACTGAACTGTCATTTTACAGAAAGGTAGTAATTCCCTCACTCCATCTGGGACTTCATCATTCCCTGAACTGTTGTTATGGATTTTTTCACCTCTGCTCACATCGATTAACTTCCTGAAGGCTTTCCTATTTGATAGTGTGGATCAGTCTAGAGGGACACAGAATCCTCCTTCACAGAGAACAAACAGCAGCACACAGTCACAACCATCAAAGTGAGTCTCTTTTTTGTTGTTTGCCTTTTGTAAACAGCTGCATAGTTTGTTGTTCAACTTTATCAAACTAGTTTGGTTGTTTGCTTGTTGGTGTTAAGAATGAATTTTTTTCTGAAAAGCCATAATAGAAAAAGCAAAAAATATTCCCTGATATTAAAGTAAGTTTGAAGAATTTGATTTACAATCAATTTTATTGTCCATTGTTTTTTTTTTTTTGCTTGATGTTAGATAGATGAAAGTTTTAGAGAATTAAACAGCTTGTGAATGCTTGAAAGTGCACATATTTTTCCACTGGTGTCTCAAGACTGATATTCAATGATCACAATTTGAAAATAAAACAAAGATGGTCTCTTGTTTTATATTGTTGTTTTCAGTGAGCAGTGAGTAGAATATTGCTTTTTGTGAATTTGGGGTCATAGGCTTTTTTTTTTTGACAAGAAAAACATGGCCAAAATAATAATTGTAATGAAATAAACAGACTCTTAGTCAAATTCAAAGTCATGAACAACATCTAAACTCCTTCCTTCATAAGGATACATGCCAATCTTTCTTGCTGATTTTATTTTCATGGCAGTTCAGCTGTACGTCATAGAGTCCCAGGTGGTGTTTCATCTGTAAAGAAAGAAGGTGGAATTCACTGGCTTCACAACAGAGATGATGAAGATAACGACAATAACACATGGAATGGAAACTCTATTCAACAGATGTAACTGAATGATCCAAGATTCTTTAAAATATATGGAGAGTTTAGAATTTGGTCTCTGATTTGGAATAATTGTTGCAAAATAGGTTTATGCCAAGATGAGCTTGGTTGATAGAGTGATGATAGTCTGTGACAAATAACACATTGATACAGAAACAATGTTCCCTAAGAAAGGAATCAAACATTTGTGTTAGCTCATTTTTTTATACCGTTCTATGGTGTGATGAGCCTGTATTGTCCATTATTCACAGAATATCAATTTTAAAGTTTTCTTCAGTGTATTCGATGGTTAATGGCACAACAATTTTCAATGTCTTGCCCAAAGCACTAACCAACTTCCAGTTGTCATGACAGTAACAGTTAAAATGTCAAAGGATATCACTCCCCAGTCCCTCAAGAATGCAGAGAGAAACATGGGACCAAGGCTAAAATGAAACATACTATTTAAATGGAGTGAGTGGCATAGAATTAAAGAAAAGGAAGTTTTAAATAATGTACGCCTATGATGTTTCTTTTTTTGAAAGTTTATCTTTCAGGGACTTCCGTTAGACCTGATCATGTAGCGGTTTTTGTTTTCTTTTCAACAGTATTGAATGATAGTAATTGCACAATGAACCATGACATACTTAAAAAAAAAAAAATTAATTACGTCCCAAGAAAAGACGAAGCGGAATGAGAAAATTTCACATAAAAAGACGACAACAACAGCAAACTTGAGCCGTAGTTTGACTTCATTTCCCATTTCTTAATTTCCTCTTATCCTCCCACCACTATTCCCAGGCTCCAAACGAACCATAACTATTGTACTGACCAAGTATTTACAGTTTCGTCTCCTCTTACGCCGTAATTTACCGAATTCATAGTTGCTCACCGGCCGTTGTGTAGCAACTAGCAAACTTTGATCAATCGCCTCAAGACCGTAATCTTTACTTACAGTGGCGTTGAGGTGACTGCTGTTCCACATCAAACCCAAAAGAAGGACTAACATCGTGCACTGCAGTGATAAACAGAGTCCTGCTTAAGAAATTTCCGCCTTCGCTACTGGTGATTACACGATGTGAGATCAAGTATTCTGGCAAGATTACTCATTCTTTTTTCTATTTATTTCTGCTAATGTTGTTTCCGTGCACCTGATGGTTCACGACCAAGGATTTACTGGAAAAGTGGAATACCTCATTGGGAATTATTTTTCAAATTAATTATATTAATTATAATTATAATTGTGTTAATTTGATTTGCCTTTACAAATCGCTAGAAATAATGATGACCAATATTCATTTCACAGTTTACCGACTATTTATGCTTGATACATGCCTCTGTTGGAACAAGTGGAAAATCGCAGTAGTTTAGTTAGGGTGCATATGAACTGAATTAATTAGTAAAGAATGTAAAACGACCTGATACGTAATCGTAAATTAGCATATTCATATTTGAAATTCCCGACTTTTGTACCAAAAATGCACTCCAAGGAAAGGTTAAGTTTCATGTATTTTCACGCAATGGCCCACATTTTGTTGTGGAATCGATAAGGTACTTTTCATCAATTTCTCGTCGTGAAATGGCACAGTTTTCCATACAACTCGGCATTTGGAAACGACACGTGTTCGGCTATGCAGGGAATACGCTAAGTCACGCGATGTTTCACCACGCCGGGCGTAGAACAAATGCAACCGTTTACGGTCGTTTACATATAAGGTGATTCGATACAAGCTGAAGTTGCTTCGATACATCGACTAAGTCGATCTGATACACGTAGAAAGTCGTTTCGACTCAAGTTCAGTCACATGAGTTATATACAAACTAGTAAAAGTTAACCAACCAAACAACCAAATTAATTATTTATCACTTTTGAAATGTTTTCATTTCTCATCTCGTGCGCCTCTGTTGGAACAAGTGAGTAATCACAGTAGTTTAGTTAGGATGCATATGAACTGAATCATTTACTAAAGAATGTAAAACGACCTGCTTCGTAATCGTAAAACGACACATGTTCGGCGATGCATGCAATTTGCGTGACAGGCTTTAAGGGGAATACGTTAGTGACGCGATGTTTCACCACGCCGGGCGTAGGATGATGCGACCGTTTACGGTCGTTTCCATTTAATGTGATTCAACAAGCTGAAGTTGATTCGATACATCGATTAAGTCGATCCAGTACACGTAGAAAGTAGTTTTGACTCAACTTCAGTCACATGATTTAGATACAAAATTGTGAAAGTTAACCAACCAAACAACCAAATTAATTATTTATCACTTTTGAAATGTTTTTATTTCTCATCTCGTAATTCCGCATCGTAAATTTCTTCTTATCCTCCTTTCATTTTTCCAAGGCTTCAAACGAAACATAACTATTGTGCTGACCAAGTGCTTTCAGTTTCGACTTCCGCTTACGCTCTAATTCACCGATTTCGTAGTTAGGCAGCCGGTCGTTGAATTGCTGTGTAACAACTTGCAAACTTTGATCAATCGCTTCAAGACCTTAGTCTGTATTTACAATGGCGTTGAGGTGACTGCTGTTCCACATCAAACCTAGTAGAAGGACCAACATTTTGCACTGCAGTGATAAACAGATTCCTGCTTGAGAAATTTCCGCCTTCGCTACTGGTGATTACACGATGTGAGATCAAGTATTCAGGCAAGATTACTTATTCTTTTTTCTGTTTATGTCTGCTAATGTTGTTTCCGTGCACCTGGTGGCTCACGACCAAAGATTCACTGGACAAGGGCAATACCTCATTTGGAATTATTTCTGAAATGGGCAATAACAGCGTTAATTTGATTTGCTTTTACAAATCACTAGAAATAATGATGATCAATATTCACTTCACAGTTTGCCGGTTGTCTGTGCTTGATACATGCCTCTGTTTGAACAAGTGAAAAATCACAGTTGTTTAGTTAGGGTGCATGTGAACTGAATGGTGACTACTTCAGCAATGAAATATTTTATTGTTTGTCTGATAAACTCGTCACTTTCAATGTAGGATCGCACCGCTGTTGATGCGCCTCACATTAATCCAATCAGTTCGCTCTGCTCAATAGGCACTTTCCATACAACAGTCTCTTAAATCAAATATCCTCTTGAGAAATTCTTCGTCGCTTGTTTTCAAGCAAGGCGACTCAACATTGTGCATAATTGGATCTCGCAATGGCGACCACATCAACCATGCATTGTACGTAAAGAAGACCTTCGTGCTCTTGACGATGTGATCACGCTTATTTTTAGGATTGAAACCAGGAAATAAGTATCGTAGAACTCATTTTTTTCCTCGTTTCTGTGTGGGATGGAATGGTTTCTGGAATAGTTTCTGGAATAGTTTCTCGGCGTGAAATGGCACAGTCTTCATACAACGACACATGTTCGGCGATGCATGCAATTTGTGTGACAGGCCTTAAGGGAACACTTTAGGTCACACGATGTTTGCCGGGCGTAGGATAAATGCAACCGTTTACGGTCGTTTCCTTATAAGATGATTCGATACAAACTGAAGTTGATTCGATACATCGATTTGGTCGATCCGATACACGTAGAAAGTCGTTTCGACACAACTTCAGTCACATGATTTAGATACAAACTAGTAAAGGTTTATCATCCAAATATCCAAATTAATTATTTATCCTTTTTGAAATGGTGCAGATCGCATACCGTTCGAATAAAATACCGTATGAGAATTCCTTACAAATAAGCAAGTGTCCTTGTCCGTAACCTTGAAAATTGCTACAATATCTGCAATGGTTCCGTAATGTTCTTTTCCAAAGGTGTGAGTCTTGTTAAACGATCCACATCCGAAAAATAGAGGCGAAAATAACCAGCGGTAAAAACACATGTGCGTCGAGGTTTGACCCAGAGTCGAATGACAAAATCTTGGCAGAGGCTGGGCCTTGTGCACAGGAAACCTAACATTATCATGGTTCCCCTAAAATGTTCATCATTTTAACAAAAACAAGTCTTACTCAAACTCCTTCAAAATATTAGAATTGCCATGCGTTCTAGGTATCATGTTTCTGGTACGTTACGGTTTTTCAGGCTCCTCGTCGGGGATTCCCGGTCTATCCTCAGGTGACTCTAACAACAGCACAAGTTTATTGACTGGTCGATCCAACACTGATCCAGTTCTGGCTTGAGTAGTCAGCGATCTGACTTGGCCTTCATCATCACGACGTGTGGTAAGCACTTTAGCCATAGGCTACTTATTCCTGCAAGAATTGTTATCTTTTAATAAAACAATGTCGCCTTCCGTGAAGTTTCTTCTCTTGTGTGTCCACCTTTGTCTCAACTGTAAGATCTGAAGATATTCTTTACTCCACGTGTTCCAGAATTTGTTAAAAATATGCTGTACGCGCCTCTAGCGACGTTTGCAGTAAGTATCCTCTTGTTGAAACTTTCCTGTAGTGGGGATAATGAGCTTAGTTTTACCAGTAAGAAGGGTACTTGGCGATAGTGGCATCGGTGAGAGCGGGTCACTTAAGGTCTTGGTAGTCAGAAGACGATTGTTTACAACAGCTTCAGCTTCACATAACATAGTTGGCAATGATTCGTCGTTTAAGCTGTGACCATGCTGTTTTACAAGTGCTGCCATAATGTTCCGCACGGACCGAATCTGTCGTTCCCAAACGACTTACTTGCTGTAACAGGGTTTCTGATCCAATCAATGCTCTCCTTAAGTAACTCTGCCTTAATTTTGTCATCATCCATTTCTTGAAGCGCTGCCATTAACTTGATTTCGGCTCCAACAAAATTAGTTCCTTGGTCACTGCGAAGCTCTTTTATTTGTCCTCTCCGACAGGTGAAGCGCCGTACTGTAAGAATGAATCTGTTTCCATGGGGTGGGCTACTTTGATATGTATCACACGACTAGCCAAGCAAATAAGTAGGGCTCGGTACCTTTTAACGTCTTTCCTGCCTTTTTAATATATCACGGACTGAAATAGTCCTCCGCACAATATCAGAACTGTGGCGCAGGTTCAACACGGGAACTTGGGAGATTGGCCATTTTCTGTTCTTAAAAAATACCGCGGAGATGTCGATACGCGACACACCTGAAGAAAAACGAAAATGTGTCGTGAAATTCTGATATTTGAAATGTTTGTCTCGTGGCGTCCATTTATGCAACCCGCCTCGCATATTTTAAGCTTTGCCCATATCTAGGCAACCGATCAGAATATCGAAAATCCCTAGTGCGCCTTTGTTGATTGATTCCTTGTGAATAAGACTGTGCGACCATTTTGCTTGGGATGCGGCATCCGTTACCCGATAAACTCAATAGAAGAACCCTCAGTCGTTTCACGCCTTACCGGCTCCTGACACTTCCTTTAAGGAAAACTCACTTAAATTATAAATTTTTTTCATAAACTGCATTTATTAAATTTTCTTCTGATGTACGATTTGCTAGGATTTTAGAGAAACTAGCGCGCCTACGAATTTTTTTTCCGAAGGATAACCGCGAATGTGGGAAGTAACCTTAAATAGACTGCATGCCATCTTTCAGCACGGAGCTCTTTTGGCGCTAGCACAGGTCTAAAAACTACCGTTACCAGTTTTTTGTTCTAGCTTGAAATAGTTTACTTACTCTTTGAAGTTGTAGATTTGGTAATTATTTTTGACTGTTAGCTGATATTAATATTTTCAACAAAGGCTTACAAGACACGCCTACAAAAGACATGGCCGCCGCAAAAGAATATACTGATGAGCAACTAAACTATTACAAGATTTGTCACGTCACAACTGATATCCTAACCGAAGGTTTACGAAAAATTTTCAAGCATGAATGGGACAGTCGTTACGGGACGACTCTTGGAGAATGGAAAGATTATCCTAGTAACGGGAAAGACTTTTACAGTAACGAGTCCCCGCGAAACCAAAGGAGGAACAAGCATATGTTGTCGACCATGATTAAAGGTAATAGAGTGGAATGGGATTGTACCATGTTGTTTTACGCCATTCTCTACTCAGATTGCATCTACAGTCTAAACGCGGTGGTGAGAACGAATGTCGACAATCTCAGAAAATTTCGCAATGAAGAGTTTGCTCATATGCCACAAGGTCAACTTTCGGAGTTAGACTTTTAAAATTGCCATTGGCAAAGTTTTTGCTGCATTCCAAGCACTAGGTCTTTCCACTGTAGAAATTCAAGACCTCACAAACCAAAAGACGTTTCCGACAGAGGAGGTAAGAGATCTCTTAGACAAAGTGAAAGTTTTAAAGAAAGACTTGGACATCAAAGAGAAAGATAACAAGGACCTGGAAGATCAGCTGAAGACGACAGAGAGTCAGCGCCGGGATCTGGAAGATCAGCTGAAGGAAACAAGAAAAACAACGAATTTGTCTTGAAGATCAGCGCAAGGAAACTGAAAAACAACTACAAGCTCTTAAAAATGAGATTAACGAAACAGAAGAAAAACGAATGGGCCTTGAGGATCTCTTAAAAAAAAAAAAAGAAAATGAGCTAAAAGAAACAGAAGAAAAACGCAGGAACCTTAAAGATCAGCTCAAGACAACAGAAGAACGACAAAAGATCCTTAAAAATAGCTTAAAGGAAACAGAAGAGAGACGAAAGAGCCTTGAAGAACAGTTACAAGACAAAGAAAAACAACTGAAGAACCTTGACGATCAGCTGGAGAAATCTGAACTTCTACGACAGGTTCTTTTTCAGAACAACTACTGAACGACACCTCCCGTTTTGCATTCTCCTCCTAAACCTTCACACGACATAGCAAGTCGTGATGTTGAGGTTGCTAACATCACTAACCAGCTGCAGGAGCTGAAGGGAGCTGATGCGAGCACTTTAAGTATCTTGTATGTATCCGGAAATCCTGGAAGCGGTAAATCCCAACTGGCAGGTCTTGTAGCCGAGAGATTTTACGAGAAAGCCCAAAAGATTCCTTCTCTAAAGTTTTTGTTATGACATTGAATGCCGAGACGCTAGGCACACTTTCAGACTCTTACATCACGTTCGCTCGACAAATGAAGTGCCCCGAAGATGCGATTACACAAATCCAAATCTCCAAAGATTTGAAGACAGAGGACAAGATTAACAGCCTGATATCCTTAGTCAGCTCAAAGATCGGTCAGTATGAGTCCTGGCTTCTGTTGGCTGACAACGTGAAAAGCTTATCTGAAATGTATGTTCATTTACCCCAGCAAGGACACGGACAATGGGGAAGGGGTATCTGTTGATCACAACCCAAGATAGTCCATGTATACCGTTAACAAGCACTTCCATTCGACACATCTCAGTCAGCGAGGGTATGCAGTCCCAAGAGGCGTGTTCTTTGTTAGCCCTTATTTCTGGTATCAGCGATAGTGAGATAGGAGAACTAGTAGCTAGAGAACTCGACTACCAGCCTCTTGCTTTAGCAAGCGCAGCCACCTATGTGAAGCAACTCCGACAGAGCAAACGTTTCTCAGAGTTTGGATGGAATGACTTTCTGAGGAAAGTAGAGAAAGGGCAACGTGATGCGACAGAGACTCTACTTACAGAGACCAACTCATGTTACAAGAAATCGATGACAACAGCAACAAGACTGGCCATTAAAGAAGTGATGCAATCAGACAGAATCATAGATCATGCATTAAGTTTTCTCTGCCTCCTTTCGTCACAACCCTTAAATGCGGATATCTTGGTGAATTATATCGTAAGCGTCGATGAAGGAATAAAAGATGAAGAGATGATAACTATGAAACTCCAAAGATGTTCGCTAATTTTATCGCATGAAGATGAGTTCGGTTTCCACATACGGGTACATCAGGTTGTGCGCGATGTCGTAAAGTCTTTGATTAAGGGCTATCCGGAAAGCCATCACATTAAAACTTTAAAAAGCGCTGTTGCAGTGTTTAACCAGTTTATAGATGACAACCTACCGAAGGAATCGTCAGATTCAATTTTGCAAAGCCACGCCCTTGCCCTACATTTGAAAAATTTCATTCTTAGCTTTGAAAACGTACTTTCGAAAGTTGCCCTTCATCAAATCACCCAGCCTGAAATGGATAATCTCGGAAAGATATGTGAGAACCATTGTCATTTTCAGGCCGCAAAGAAATTCTATGAATTTTCATTGCAATTTTTCCTCCAAACGTTTGGACCTAAGCACACCAGTGTTGCAACTAGTTACAATAACTTGGGTGTGGTGCACTACAAACAAGGCGACTTTGCGGAGGCCAAGGAGTATCACGAACTTGCTCTGAGTATTTACCAGAAAAAGCTAGGACCTGAGAATGTACAAGTGGCAACTAGTTACATTAACATGGGTGTAATGCACGACAAACTGGGCGACTTTGAGAAGGCCAAGGAGCATCACGAACTTGCTCTGAGTATCTACAAGAAAAAGCTAGGACCTGAGAATGTACAAGTGGCAACTAGTTACAATAACTTGGGTTCTGTTCACGAACAACTGGGCAACTTTGAAAAGGCCAAGGAGTATCACGACCTTGCTCTGAGTATTTACCAGAAAAAGCTAGGACCTGAGAATGTAGACGTGGCAACTAGTTACTGTAACTTGGGTCTAGTGCACGCCAAACTGGGCGACTTTGCGGAGGCCAAGGAGTATCACGAACTTGCTCTGAGTATTTACCAGAAAAAGCTAGGACCTGAGAATGTACAAGTGGCAACTAGTTACAGTAACTTGGGTGTGGTGCACAACAGACTGGGCGACTTTGAGAAGGCCAAGGAGTATCACGACCTTGCTCTGAGTATTTACCAGAATAAGCTAGGACCTAAAAATGTGGACGTGGCAACTAGTTACAGCAACTTGGGTCTGGTGCAAGACAGACTGGGCGACTTTGAGAAGGCCAAGGAGTATCACGAACTTGCTCTGAGTATTTACCAGAAAAAGCTAGGACCTGAGAATGTACAAGTAGCAACTAGTTACAATAACTTGGGTTCTGTTCACGAACAACTGGGCGACTTTGAGAAGGCCAAGGAGTATCAAGAACTTGCTCTGAGTATTTACCAGAAAAAGCTAGGAGCTGAGAATGTACAAGTGGCAACTAGTTACAGTAACTTGGGTCTGGTGTACAACAAACTAGGCGACTTTGAGAAGGCCAAGGAGTATCACGACCTTGCTCTGAGTATTACACAGAAAAAGCTAGGACCTTATAATATAGACGTGGCAACTAGTTACATTAACATGGGTGTGGTGCACGATAAACTGGGCGACTTTGAAAAGGCCAAGGAGTATTACGAACTTGCCCTGAGTATTAGACAGAAAAAGCTAGGACCTGAGAATGTAGACGTGGCAACTAGTTACAATAACTTAGGTTCTGTCCACCAACAACTGGGCGACTTTGAGAAGGCCAACGAGTATCACGACCTTGCTCTGAGTATTAGACAGAAAAAGCTAGGACCTGAGAATGTACAAGTGGCAACTAGTTACAGTAACTTGGGTCTGGTGCACGACAGACTGGGCGACTTTGAGAAGGCCAAGGAGTATCACGAACTTGCTCTGAGTATTAAACAGAAAAAGCTAGGACCTGAGAATGTAGACGTGGCAACTAGTTACAGTAACTTGGGTTCTGTTCACGAACAACTGGGCGACTTTGAGAAAGCCAAAGAGTATCAAGAACTTGCTCTGAGTATTTACCAGAAAAAGCTAGGACCTGAGAATGTACAAGTGGCAACTAGTTACAATAACTTGGGTCTAGTGCACGACAGACTCGGCGACTTTGAGAAGGCCAAGGAGTATCACGAACTTGCTCTGAGTATAACACAGAAAAAGCTAGGACCTGAGAATGTACAAGTGGCAACTACTTACATTAACATGGGTGTATTGCACAACAAACTGGGCGACTTTCAGAAGGCCAAGGAGTATCACGAACTTGCTCTGAGTATTTACCAGAAAAAGCTAGGCCCTGAGAATGTACAAGTGGCAACTAGTTACAATAACTTGGGTTCTGTTCATGAACAACTAAGCGACTTTGAGAAGGCCAAGGAGTATCACGAACTTGCTCTGAGTATTACACAGAAAAAGCTAGGACCTGAGAATGTACAAGTGGCAACTACTTACATTAACATGGGTGTGGTGCACAACAGATTGGGCGACTTTGAGAAGGCCAAGGAGTATCACGACCTTGCTCTGAGTATTTACCAGAAAAAGCTAGGACCTGAGAATGTAGATGTGGCTACCAGTTACAGTAACTTGGGTCTGGTGCACGACAAGCTGGGCGACTTTGCGGAGGCCAAGGAGTATCACGAACTTGCTCTGAGTATTAGACAGAAAAAGCTAGGACCTGAGAATGTACAAGTAGCAACTAGTTACAATAACTTGGGTCTGGCGCACGACAAACTGGGTGACTTTGAGAAGGCCAAGGAGTATCACGAACTAGCTCTGAGTATTAGACAGAAAAAGCTAGGACCTGAGAATGTAGACGTGGCAACTACTTACAATAACTTGGGTCTGGTGCACGACAAACTGGGCGACTTTGAGAAGGTCAAGGAGTATCACGAACTTGCTCGTAGTATTTACCAGAAAAAGCCACGACCTGTGCGTGTTTATGATGCGTCTGTACCAGCTACCAAAATTCTCGTGAGGTCTGTTCATTCGGCCCAGGACATTTTACAGCAAGCCGAGGGGTGTCATGTTCCTGCCACTAACTACCGTTCCCGGAAACGTGCAGGTGGAGATAGTCTTGCTCCAGTTGTAAACGATGGGATCGACGCCTTGAGTCAAAGCTGGTTTGAAAGTAGTGTTAAATCCTCTAAAAAGCGTAAGACAAAAAAGGAGTGAGAAATAGGAGGACAGAAATCGTAAGAATTAGTTACAAGTCATTTTCTTGAATTGCTGAGATTCCCAGACGAGACAATGAAAGGAATTATTTCGTAACATAACCGGAAGATTTGAATACAACTCACGAGATTAAATTTCAAATTAGTATTTTTCGTAACAGCCCGTGGTCAGCATGTTTCTTGACATAAAAAGCTTTCCGAATAGGTGGAATAGACTTGTTCGAGTTTTGACTTGTTTCTATTGGCTGTCCTCTTCTTTTTTATAAGTTTAAATCAGGATATTCTTTATCTTTTGTCAAACAAGTGGCAATTCTTATCTGGCAATTTTTTAACCTTAGACAGATTTGCTGTAAAGAAAAGTTTTAAAGCCAACAGTAGTTCAGCTTTTCAATTAACGAGCACAAACTGCACTTATTGTGTTTGAAAACTGTTCCTTTGACGATGCTATCGTAGCCTCAGCTCATTTAGTAGCCAAAGATCCTACGTTTTCAATTTTATCGAGCCGTTTTTCCACTCATAATTACAGGCGTGCAGCTGAAGAGATATCCTTGCGATAATTTCTTATCAATCGAATAAGTTATCTTCCTGTTACTTTACTTGGACATTATATTCTTGGAATAATTTCGTAAAAAAGACCGTGGTTAGTCATCGTGGTGAATAACAATAAAAGCTAAGTTTTTGGTTTGTCTCACGATGTAGTCACGTGTGATGTAGATCGCGACGTTTCGACTGCATACTGCTATTCTTCTTCAGGCGATGAGGTCGACTGGTCATGCGTGATCTTATAAAGCATGATGCTCTGATGTGACTGGTTGTTTTTCAACAGCTCTGATTGGTGCATTTCGATCAAGTGATTTGCTCCCTCGGCGGTCCGCTGTCGCACGGCTCTCCTGTTTTTGTATTTTTTGATCGTGGGCATCCACGCTTCTAGAATTTCTATTCCACTATCCCTGTTGATGTTGTTAGGGTGATGTCTTATATGAATTGCCTCTTTCACCCTGCGCGTGTAGTAATAAGGGTCACGATCAATAAACTTTACTTCGTTCCAGAGTGGCTTGTGTCCGGTGTTGTGGGCATGCTCTGAAACGGCGGAGGTCTCGGTACGGGCGAGTCGGATGTCTCGATCATGCTCCTTAATTCCAGTCTCTCCGATGTACACCTTGCCGCATTCACAGGGAATCCTCAGTGTTATCCCTCGTATGATTACAGACCGATTACCATTACTTATTACGATAAATTCCCAATAAATTAATGTTGGAACCGAGTGCTAACTATTTTAAAAATCCTTGTCTCCTTGAGCTCGGTAAGAACGCCATTGAGGTTGATCTCCGTGCGCCAGGAAATGATATCAAGTTTCCGTTCCCGCCGAGCTATTTCCCCCGATTTGACAGCGTTCAAGTATGTCACAGTGGTTAAGGAACTTATCGTTAACCTAGAAAGTCGTGGAAGTTTTCCTGTGGATTTCCCCAAAATAATCAGCAACGAAGAAATGCCCCAATCCAATGATCGCGTACCATCCATGAAAGCAATTTTTTGGTAAAAGGGTATGGAAAACATCAACAAAGTCTTGTAAAAAGTCCTGCAAAGTCATGGAATTTTACTGATCTGAAAGAATACGAATCCTTTTGTTTCTTGGTTCCTCAGTTCGGAAGAATTTTGACCCAACATTCGTAGCGACTCTGCAGGGTTCAAGTTTAAACACTTGATTCCCAAAAGGCCAGATTCAAGAAAGTTCTTGGAAATCAGGCTGAATTTTTACGAGTTTAAGTCAATAGAACCCCGTGTATTTGAACTGTTAAGGGAAGCGTAAAACAGCACGGGATACAGGGGAGTTCTAGTGAGCTGTCTAATGCTCAGAGGGATTGTGCAAATTGGGTGTTACGCTACCTTCGCGGACCTTTCGAGGCAGTTTTGTAAATATGGTTAAAAAGGTAACTTTCACTATCATAAATAGGGTAGATTTGGATCCATTTTGTTTGTTTCTGTTTAAGAAATAAGAAAGGATCCCGGTTTGAAACAAAATCCCGCATATGTCCCTTTTTTTTAAGAGAGGATGTCAGCATCCATCGAACAAATTTGAAATATTGTGGCAAGTCGCCCAAAATTCGTTTTCTCCCCTACTACTAAAACAAAGGATTATGCTGACAGAAATATCGGAGGTCAAGTAAATTCGTTACATGAAGTCACACAAGTCGGGTAATATTTACGGTGAAAATTTGCATATTTGAGCGGTCGAACGAAAAAGATCATTTCTCGAAAACTAAAATATATTTTCACCAAAAAACTACACCACAATTATTAGGACTGATTGGGCTACAGAATATGAAAGTAGGAGAGAAAACGAATTTTGGGGACTTGCCGCTGTTTGTCTGATGCATGACGACATTAGCTCTTAAATCTCTTATTCCCATTGGAGGATATCTCAATGAGGATTCAGAAATAACCATTGAAGAGTTAGGTGGACGAAGGTGATGCACTAAAATATATCCCTAACTGATATCATTGAATGTTTCAGCTTAATCTGACTTAAATTCAACTGAGATGAATATTAACGACAAACCTGATGCTCTAGCCCCTCCCACACCTCCCCCCGCCTCCCCCCTTTCCGATAGAAACGACCACGAAACGCACGCACGCAGATTTGTTGTTTTTATAGTTTGATTTAAAAGGATAATAAACTTACTTTTACAATAGTCATTTCAGCCATAATTAGGGCATAGAAAGATGAATAATTACAAAAACTAGACCTTTCATAAATTCACATTCCCTGTATGTTGTTAGTATTGTTTCACTAGTGTGGAAAATACAGAGATAGAAAAAGGTTTTGTTGGCGGTAATTTCCATTGGCGATCGTGAAAACCTTTACCGCCGTTCGGTTTACTCGCCTGTTGTTCGTTTAAGTGATCTTTTCTATACAGGATTTCTACAGGTCGTCGTTGAGTGACCTTAAAAAAAGTAAGCTTGTATAAAAGGCAAGTAGTCTTGTACAGCAGTTGGTTTGTAGTTATAAATTAAAGAAGCCCTCTCTTCCTCTGCTCTGGAGAATCGATGAGTGCTGAAGCGCGCTGCCGACAACAGAGAGGAATTACTATCATTACAACTATTGTTTATATAATTAACCTTTTCCCTCCCTAGATTTCATTATTAGTAATTTGTCTTGCTGTTTGCCATACGATTCTTATGATGCTAGTTTAGGGAATTTGGTATTGGATCAACTAATCATCCTCTAATTGATATTTACAATGAAATAAACAATGATTCCAATTCAATTCAATTTTAGGCAAAACAAGCAAAATATAACAAAAAGTTCAGGTGTTGTTCATCGTTGGTTGTGACATGTTGTGTGACGTGTTGTTTTGACTCTGATCCCCCGTATGTAGGGAAGCATTTTTTCGCCTTGAATCACGTGCTTTGAATAGAAGAGATCGTTGCATGAGTTTCTGTTATTTTTTTTCTAGTTCCGCCTCTGCATTTTGATCCACTAGTTTTGTGTAATTTGATTACTGAGATTTTTTTCGGTCAGCGGATCATTATAACAATAATGGCACTGGAATATCATTACAAAAATTATCTGCCATCAGTTACAACTATTTTTTGTTATGGAAGAGGAACTAAAATCTTTTTCCAAGCTCACCTTTTTGAATTAGGAAATTTGCAAAATACTGGCCTGAAAGAACATCGGCCAGCGAGTGATTAAAGTCCAGATCTCTGCGCCATTCAAACTGGGATTTAGCCGGGTGCCAGTGGAAAAGGTAGACGGGATAACGCTTACCTGTAAATAATACAATTAGACTCTTGCCATCACCAAAAGTATATGATAAAATAATTCTTCCTATTTATCTTTTCTATTTGCACAAAAACATTACAAGTAAGAAATTTAGAACTGATAATTTTTTCAGAACAAACTGTAACTTGAAAAGAGTCAACTATTGTAGCGAGGAAGCCAGACGAAGCTTATGATATTTGGGTTTGTTTTTTAAGATTCCTTATACTTTTTGTTCTTACCTTCCATAGTTGAAATAAATTCAACCACGTTGCGATCTTTGCTGGTTGAAACGATTCTGAAAAAGGCATTTAGACGTCTGTACTTGCCATAATTCTGGCGTAAAAGAACAGAGTAGTATGGGTCAATGTATAATCTGAAACAAGTGAGGATGTAAAGACTTAATAACCCTTTACACCTTATCATTAGTATGCATATTCTCCTCACTGTTCTCTATACATTTCTTGAGGTGCTAACAAGGAGAATTTGTTTTACAATCAACAGCTTCTTAAGTTGGTGATCATTTCATTTATTCTCGTGACCTCAATGTTTGATTCAGGGGTTATACTGTAAGGAGAAATCGGATGCTGGTCACTCTAAGGGGGTTAGATTAAGGGTTAAATCACAAGGCTAAGGTTAACTCTCTCCCTGTTTAGTGGGTGTTGTTCTTTAGCATGGAGGTCCTGTAATAGATGCTAAAACTTCTCAATACTGTTCTTCTCTGTTTTTATTGTCCTTATTTTCGCATCTACAAAATCAACAACACCATAAAACTTGTTGGAAAGATCTCAAAATTGACAATACGATAATTGTTTAGGTTCAGGGACCGGTTGTTATTTGTTGTCGGGGTGAGGGGGGGAGGGGGGGAAGGATTGGATGATGTCACAATGAAATTTACCTTATTTCCTTAGAAGGCTGACCGTGATATTGTTATGCTCCTCCTTATTAGCAATTATTGTGCAGTTAATTTTCTATAGTTTTTTATATTTTTCTATTAAACTCTTTACGATGGCCAATTTACGCTATCAACTCAGTTGATGATACTAAATCACCGTAGAAGTTAATTCATTTGGTTCTGAAACTGTACCTTCATTGTGTACCTTCATACACTCGTGTGTAATTTGTGTGGTGTAATAACCTATGACCTCCGGGATATATGGCACTAAAATACGTAAAAGTCATAGACAAGGAAAAGTAGCGAAAGTAAAATAAGTCGAGAATCACGAACAATTGAAATGTATGATGGGAAGTGGCCCGGTGAAGGGGGGGGGGGGGGATGAGGCAGTATAGGCTCGTAGCGCTTTAGCAAGGGTTTTTCAAAGGGAGGTATCCCAGGTATGAATTTCCGAGTGTCTTAATTACGTGAGGTGGCTTATAACGCGGGTCTATATTGTGTATCAGTGGACTTATATTTAAGCAGTGAGAGGGACCAGCAAATGGGGTATCTGATACTGGAGAAAAGTTGCGCCACAAAGACCCTTAGGATTTTCACGTTTTTGCAAATCTGATTCATAAAACGTGAATTTTGTAGACCTCAAAATAATAAAACCATAATGATAACAACCCTAATTATTTCAGAAAGTGGTGTAGGCCGTAAGCAGACCCTCCCCCTTCTCTTAATTTCGCCTACGCCCCTGAAACAAGCGAGAGCGAACATTGTGGCAAATGATAGTCTTAATCGACGTTTACACCATACCACGTTTCCGGTTTTTCTATTATAACTGTAAAGAATACCTTAAAAGTAGAGAACTTTGCCGTTTCCATCTTTTGAGGTCAGCTTTGCCCATCGTTCTACTTACCCATTAATTGAGGAAAATAACTTTTCAATTTCTTTAGCAGTGGAGTTAATGCTGCAGGATGTTGATTTGAGAATCATTAAGAATCATACATTTACAACAAATCGCTGAGAATGGTATAAAGACTACAAAAAGTCTCCCCGGCCAGGCATACTGTCGAGTAACGCCCCTGAACAAGCCGACAATACGACCACAAGAAAATCAAACATGAAAACCGCTGTGAATTTAAAAAGATGTTGTCAGTTTTGTAGGGAGAAAGCTTTGAGAAAGGTTTCTATGTTCGTTTTCCAACCCCTCCATTTTCTTTTTTTTGCACAATAGCATTCATGGCCTTCAAGGAAAATTATTTCATGGGCTCATGGTTCATGGACTCATGGTAAAAGGGTATAAGTAAAAGGTAAAGTTTGCATTTTAGCCACGAGTCCCGTCCAGCCGGAGTTTATTTCAAATTTTTCTTAATAAGAAACGTGCACGAGGAACGCTACTTCCCATACAGGGTCATCACGTTCCAGAATACTTCTAAATGTTCTGCGTAGCCATGTTGATACTGATTCACAAGAGAATTCAATGCAATCATATAGAATGTTCTATCTATTTAAGTGGAGCTTGTAGCATAATGAAACCATAAAAACACTGACAGGTAATGAACACGTAAACACAATACACACGGGAAACGGTGTGACAATAAGTTTCGCTATTATATACCGGCCTCGAAACGTAACGCATTTGGCCAAACAGACCTGCCTTTCCTAAGAAATCCAAGGGAAACTTATAAAAACGTCTATGAATAACTATTACATCTGAAATAATCCTGAAAAATAAACTGTTCGGAGTTTATCGTATAGAGACTCTGTCGGGAGATTCCTCGTATTGCTTTCAGCAGCTTATTTCCTTCCTTCGTGTTCGGTAGGCTCTCTCGATTCCTTGCGTGACCTCGGTTACAATCAGGTTACCATGATAATTCGACGATATTCATTTATGCTCCCGGGTGGGGAGAGGCGATAGGAGAGTGATGTGTCTTAACCAAGAACACAACACAATGACCCAGCCAGGCCTCGAACCCAGAGTGTAGTGTGTTAGGTTGCCGTGGGTCCCATCAGAAAGGCGTAGATATTCATAGATCTAGAATTGCCTTTGTTAAGCTCTCACTTTCTTTATCCTACCTTACAATACTTGTTCTTTATTTCAAGTTATTTTACATCTTTAAGAGGATTAACAAATACATTATTACGAGAGGGCCAGATTTGTAAAGGATACAAAATAGGCACCATTCTCCCTCCTGCAGACTCGATAAACTTGGCGTAATCGACTTCTGAATTTCGTCACATTTCTAACCGTTTCTTGAGCGAGCACGCCTTCAGTGAAGCAGAAATAGGAAACAATAATAATTGAACGACCTTTCATTGTCCTTTTGACAATCTACGCTCGTGTCTTAATCAATTGCTATACTCGAGCTTATAGGTGTTTTCGTTTTCCTTCGTCGTACAAGACGGTGCTTTATTTCTATTTTTCCTAGGAAAACAACACGCAAAATATTGATAAAAGTGTATTTCAGAGACGTTTTATTCATGAATTCATAAGGCCAAATCGCAGTTCTTACTTTCGTTTCTAAAACAGGAGAAGAATATAATTGTAGTTTCACCGTATGACCAAACAAGTCTTGGCAAGATGGCCAAACTACAATAATAATAATAGACCTTTTCATATGACGACAACACTCTCACTGGCATATTATTATTTTTCAAAAAGTTTCCTAACTCAGTTACCAATAATTGGACAACAGTTGACAGCCCTCCCGTTATCTCTGTGATTTAGGGTCGGAAATAAGTTAGAAGGTAATATAAAAAAAGTCGACAGAAATGCTCGAAAACGTTAAAAGACGAAGGAGAAATTTGCGTTAAATCAAGAAAAACAAGATTTTTAAACACTGTACCTACTTTTCCCTTGTCCGTGGTTAGAGGACGCTTCGAATGTTTCGAATTCCACGGCTAAAGAAATCTGCGCCACAATAAGCAAAAATTCAATTTCCGTTATTTTTTCTCCTTTCATATTTTCTTCTTTTTGATTGTCTTCAATGAAAATCCTAATTCGCCTTCAAGCTGGTCAATATTTAGTTTGGCGTTAACTCTACGAGCTTACTAACACCAGGCCAAGTTATTAACCCCATTTGATGGCACACCTATTAAAAAGAAATCCATGAGGACGTCGCCTTTTCATGGCCAGTCCCCGTAGCGAGTACACCTGTCTCGCGGGTGTTCTGACCCTGAGTATCAAAAGGGTGTCATTTTTAACAAGTTAATTAGGATTTTACAACAGGGTAGCTTCTTAATAACTAAAACACAAGATCTGGTCTTGAGAAATTAAAAGACCTGCGGGTTGCACATCACAAACTGTTGGTTCTCAAGATAATATATGGGACCGACCACCAATTCTTACTTTTTGCGGCTGTTTCTTTCTGCGGAAAATCATTTCTTCTACGAACAAAACAAAATTGTCAAGAATAGCAATACGAGGAAACAATTGAAACTTTTTTTGCGGTTGGCAAGATTTTCGTCTGTTACAGAGAAGAATTAGATTCATACTACATTGTGGGTAACAACCAGAACTGTGGGTACATTTTCTTGAACTTAACTAGGATTTGAATTTGGAAATAGCCAGAGTCGATCATGATAGTGCTTGAAAATCTGAAGATGTGATGAGGACAATTTAAATGAGGTAGGCTGCGAGGGTCATCTCTTTTCGCCCTTTGGGGTGTCACTGTATTCGTAACGTATTTACAACTGTAGTTGTAATGTATTTACACAACTGTAAACTAGTAAAATTAGTGTACAGACTAGAAAGACCATAGGGGCTTACAAAGCTCTCTCTTGGTTTGTGACCTCCTCAAAGTAAACAGATGTTGGTCGTCATGGAAAGCCTTCTCAGTCCTTACTAACATGATACGATTCTAATCATGCCATGCTACATAGGTGAGGGCAGCTAGCAGGATTTCGCGCGCTGAATTCAAACACAAGGTCCCCCAATTTGAATACGAGCGGAGCAGCTGCGGGAGTAATACCAAGAACCTGGTGACTCAGTGAAGTGGCCGAGGGAATTTCTCTCTCTCTCTCTAGATTAAGGAAAATCGCCCTCTCTCTAAAGGAAATGTCAGGGAGTGGGGCTTTGCCATTATAGCTTTACAGTGAAACTGAAATGCCGTGTATTCTTTTGTTCCACTTGTATTATACCCCATTGTGAAATACACATGGACAATTGTACCACTCTACTTGTTCAATTTTGGAAGGTTAAGAACTCAGAGATTCACAGAGAACAGTCCAAAAGGAACAGGGTCACCTCTCAAACGAAAAAAAAAAAAGGTTTATTTCCTATAGGCAGTTAGGAAAAATTCTCGCCTGTTTTTCAGTACTTCTCCTTTAAGGCCTGTCGAGGTTTCCCTCCGGCGAGAGGAAACCTCTTTCCGCCTCCGCTCGATTTTATGCATTTACCTTAAAACTCGGAGAGCAATGGCCTCTGAAGGTGCGTAAATGACAGTTACCGTTGCCC